TGCTGCAGAACTAGATTCTGATAAGAACAGGCCAGTCCTTTCCCAGAATCCCAGAAAGTCTCAGGAATTGGAGGCATCAGGTACTTCAGAAAACAGGGACTGAAAACAGGTTTTGGCTGAAAAGCTGTATATGAAACAGACCTCCAGGTTGCCAACCCCCATCTTAACGCTGTCTCAACTGACTGCCCCTCTATCCTTCGCTACAGACAGGAAGTTTAACATCTGGAGAAATTAAGTCACAGAGGCTTTGGAATCGGGCAGTGGGCATGGAGGAATTCAGGGAGTGAGTTGAGAGATATTTAACAAAGCTATTGGGTGATGTGGAAAGACTTAAACCATAGGTTCAAAGAAAACGAAGCAAATGGGAGAAAATTTAGGCACTTGTTAACTCTGGGGAAAACAAAATTTGACCACTAAAGGAAAAGAAGACGTAGCGCCCAGCTTAGCTCAAGAGCACACAATATTTCTGTGATCAAAATAGTAAAAACATCTTTAATTTACCAAAATATGACAACTATATTTGTAGAGGGATGGAGAAAAGAGGTATGTCTATAAGAAAGTAAAGTAAAATCATTTTAATGTAGTAAGTAAATAGATGTCTGAAATTGATGATTTTAGAAAAAATACTTTTTTAAAATTTGGAGATAAATACTAGAAATAATTACTAAAAATTTTGGAAGTGGTTACCTCTTGAGAAGGTAGGTAGAGTTGTATGACCAGTTCTGGTCAGGCAGTAAGAGACATGGGTGCATGGGCCAGGGACTGCTATTTTTTAATCTATTTATTTATTTATTTATTTATTAATGCTATTATTTATGTACAATTACATGAGCAATATTATGGTTACTAGACTCCCCCTATTATTAAGTCCCCACCACATACCCCATTACAGTCACTGGGACTGCTACTTTTTAATTACAAACATTCTAATATAATTTGATTTTAAAAACTCTACTTACTTATAGAAAAATCTTTAAAAAATAATAATTTAAAATTCAATTTTAAGTTTTATTTTACATTTTGCTCTACACTGCTTCTTGTATCTCATATATTTTTCTCTTACTTGAATTTAATTTTTATTTTGCTGGAGAATAATCTCTAGTATTTCAAATATGGCCTATGGATGAAAAGGCCATTTAACTTTTTATCCTCCAAGATTTTTTGAGGGATAATTTACATATAGTATAATTCACTCATTTTAGGTATATGTTTCTGTGAATCTTGAGAAATTTGCACAGTTATGTAGCCACCACCATAATTAAGAGATTATTCCCCAAATAGTTCCCTTGTTCCTCTTTGTGGTGAGTTCCCTGCCTTCCAGCTCCTGGCAACCATTGATCTGCTTTGTGTCCCTATCATTTGCCTTTTCCAGATGTCATGAAAATGGAATTGAACAATTGAACAACATACGGCTTTTAAGTCTGGCTTCTTTTACTCGACGTAATGCTTTGGAGATCACCCCTGGTATAGCCTTTATGGGGACCCTTGAACTCCATACTTATCATCACCAACAGTCATCAGGGCTGTCTACAAAATATTTCTGTCTGTTTTCCAGTCATATGATCAGATTGTACTTCCTGGCCTTCTTGTTGTTGGGTGGGGCCACATGATTAGTTCTGCAATGAGTTGTGAGTACATGTCACTTATTGGCAAGATCATTTAATTGACAGTGTGAGACCCTGTTGGGCTCTCTCTGCGTTTGGCTAGCGATGGGGATCGTTCAAGATGGTGGCTGCATTGTGAGCCTGAGTCTTAGAGTGACACACTGCATACCTGTGATGGACACCTTGCCAATATTAGATAGATCGCTTGAGCCAGAAACATACCTGTGTGGTTTTAAATAGTTTTAAAAATTGAATCATGTTAGAAGGTTTATAATTAAAAATAGCAGTTTCCTGGCCCACATGCACCCATGCCCCTTACTGCCTGACCAGAACTGGCCCTATAGCCCTCCCTACCTCCTCCCAAATTGAAATTTGGGTGTGGTTTATTATCACAGCATGATCAGCCTATATTGATCCATACAGAAGTCTTGTGTTTTTAGCACTGGAAAACTTCCTTTATTGCTGCTTTAATTATTTTCCCTATTTTTCCTTTCTCACGTTCTTCTTTCTGGAATATTAGGTAGCTGTTGGAACTTTTGGGTGTGTCCCCCGTGTCACTTACCTTTCCTTTGTCCTTTTGTTAGTTTTCCTGGGAGAAATTCTCAGATTAATCTTTTAACTACTGTGTTTTCCAGCCTTATTCATTTTGCTATTCAACTCAGCTTTTTTAAAAAATCATGTTTTTATATTTATATTTATATTCAAGACCTTTATTTGCTTTTTTTCCATAGTGGGTTATTACTTAGTGGGTGTAGAATCTCCCCTATTTTTTCTAGGGCTATTAATCATTTTTAAAGTCTTCTCTTTGTTCTGTTAACTCTTTCCCCTCAATTGTTGGTTCCCACGTAGTTTTCTTGTAGAATTCTGGCTCTCCTTGTTGCTGACTTTCCTGGTCTGTAATACTTTGTCCTTGGGAATTCCTATTTGCCCCAGTTGCTGATTTGATTGCAATGAAGTGCCTATGATGTTTGGAGAGGACATGGCTATCCTCTGAGGATCTGTGTTCTTATGGTTTGTTGGGTGTGGGAGCTCCCTGTCCTTCAGGGAGTTGTTAGCTCCCCTGGGGCACTGCCATGCATGTCCCTATGTGCACTTGCTGTGGCTGCCCACTACGTAGTAGGAAGAGAGGTGTGGGCTGTCAGCCCAGGTCCTCTGCAAATGTTGCCATGTTTTCTGGTAAACTGCCCCTGAGAACTTCTAGCCATTGACTGTGAGGCTGGAGCACCCTCCAGACCTCATGGCTGGTGGGTCTGTACTTCCTGCATTTTCACTGCTCTTTTCCTCCATGCTCGTTTCTTTCACACAGTTTTTAGTCACTTATGGTAAGGACTAAACAAAGTTGTTTGTACACTAATTATTGTTCCAGGTTGCCAGTTTGCAACATCAACCTTAAGAGATCATCTCCTCCCAGGAAACTGAAGTTTATCTTTTTCAACTAAAAAAAAAAGTATACTTCCTTCCACATGGATGTCTTTTATGTTAAGAAACCAAAGATAAAGAGTACATGCCTTAAAAAAAAGTATACAAGTAATCATTATTTCTTTTGGAAATTAGAAAATACAGATAAGCATAAAGAAGAAAATTAAAATCACTCTGCCCAGAGACAACCAGTTTTAACATTATGGTGCCCTTTCTGACATACACACATAAATACATGAATTTTTTTGTATTGATATTAAACTACTGATAAATTTAAAAGTTGTTTTTCTGCCCAATAATATATCATAGACATCTTTCCATGTCAATAAATAGATATTTAATATCATTTAATATGTAGTGTTCCATTATATTGGGGGCTATAATATATTAAATGAATTCCCTCTTGTTAGGCATTACATTGTTTCTAATGTTCACTCTATAAATGATACTACAATCACCATCCTTGAACACATACTCTTAGAATAAAATTCTAGAAGTGGAATTGCTGTGTTGAATGTGGCTGGGCATTTAAGAGTTTACCAGAGACAAAAGTCTTCAGATAAAGGAAGGCAACTCAAAGGGTGGATGTTCAGACATTTGCAGCCAGAGTTGGAAGCGGTGGTTTGGGCAAGGAGGGAGATCTCAAACTTATACCCAGAGCTGCCCCTCAGTCTAGCCTAGCTCTCCTTGGAAACGTTTAGGGGAATGAGTCGGTACAGCTACTCTGGAAAGAGCCCTTTGTGCCTTTTCACTTCCAACACTGCCCCTTCAGGAGGACAGTGGCGCAGGGCCCCCACACCCCTTCCAAATTTGGAAGTGAAACTGGCTTCAAAGCAGAGCCACAGGAGCGGCTGTGGAGAACAGAGGAGGCCCCGCTGGGACTAGGGTGGGTGCTCCTAGCCTAGGGGTCTCCTTTGCCCTCCAGATTCCTTGCCATCTCCGACCTTCCCACACAGCCCCTTCCCCAGGCTGGCTTTGAGACCCTGAAACCTTAACAACTTTCTAGAAGTGTCAACTTTTAGGTTGAATCATATGGAATTGCTGTTTCTATAAGTAAAAAACAGGGAGTACTGGCAATTACTAGGGACCTCTGGTCTGTTTGGTTCAATTCCTTCCATCTGTAGTACATTTATTTAGCGCTTATTCTGGGCTAGGCACTGTGCTAAGCATTTTATAGTCATTTTTTAATAGTTACAACTTTCTGAGGCACAGGAATTGTTCCCCACTTGACAGAGAAGAAAACTTTGGCTCAGCATTTTGTCTTTTGGAATTAAGGGCTGGTTCGCCCTCCAAACTTAAAATCTTCATAACAACAGTATTTTGATTTGCAGTTAAAGGAGCTGGTGGCTCTGCCACTTGCTAGCTGTGATGCCCCAGGAACGTGCCTTAACTTGGCAGAGCCATTTTCCACCTCTGGGTGTGAGGTCTCAGTGAGAAGTATTCTTGATCTTGTTTTCACCTTTAGAAAAATCCCTCTGGTATTCACCGACTCAAGTCTTCTCATTAATAAAATGGGGACAATAAACACAGCGCCCGGCAACATCAGGGATGAGGGCATAGTTCCGGGACCCGCAGGAGAAAGGGGAGCCCGGGAGAAGAGGAGCCCCACTCCTACCCACCATGTGGAGCACCCACCCCGCCTGCAGTGAGGCCTCAGGGCGAGTCCCCGGGGCGCGGGGCGGGGCCGCCACGGCCCTCTCGGCCAAGGCCTGTCCTAGGCCAGGACGCTGGCGAGCGGCACCATCTGGCTCCAGCGTCCTGACACTCCCGGCAGCCGGAGGGGAGGGGACGACGGGGGCGTGGCCGGAGCGTGGTCTCTGTTCCCCCGAACACACACCTTTTTTTTATTTGCCTAGACAGGGAAAGGCTCTGCTGCGCCTTTAAGAGGCCGACGCGGGCAGCCGATTGGCCGAGACGCTCCGTGATGTCACGCCGGGGCTGGCGCCGCGGCGCCCGGGCGGCCCGTGCCTCCCCCTCCTGCCCCGCGGCGCGTTCGCGGACAGTCCGCGCGCGGGCCCGGCCGGGCCGGCGCCCCCCTACGTCTCGCCCCCTCGCGCCGCCCCGGGTCCCCGGGGATGCCCCCAGCCGGGCCCCTCCATGGCCGCCGACGTCTTCATGTGCTCCCCACGCCGGCCTGGCGGCCGGGGCCGCGCGGCTCTGCTCAAGCCCCCGGTGCCCGAGGACGACGACGATTCGGACCCGGATGAGCCGTCGCCGCCGCCCGCCTGCGGCACGGCCGCCCCGGTACGGGCCCCCGCGAACGCCGTGCCGCCGCCGCCGCCCCGGGCTGGGCCGGGCCGCGAAGAGCCCCCGCGCCGCCAGCAGATCATCCATAGCGGCCACTTCATGGTGTCGTCGCCGCACCGAGAGCACCCGCCCAAGAAAGGCTACGATTTTGACACGGTCAACAAGCAGACGTGCCAGACGTACAGCTTCGGCAAGACCAGCTCCTGCCACCTGTCCATCGACGCCTCGCTCACCAAGCTGTTCGAGTGCATGACCCTGGCCTACAGGTAGGGACCCAGCGACCCTCGGTGGGCCCGCGTCCCGAGCGGGGCCCCCTTGACAAAACAAGCGAGGAGGGCTGGGCCGCCTGGGGACCTCTTGGCATCACGCGTTCCCCTTGGGTTCAGCCGCATTGGGAGGGTTTATGGGTCCGGGGTCCCCAGTGGAGGCAGGGGCCGGAGTCCTGGCCTCTTCCCCTGTCAGCAGTGTTCGGGTTCTTCCGGCTCCACGTTTCCCATACAGGCCTTCCCCTCCCATGTCCCGAGGCCACCGATTTTGGACAAGAGGTTGTAAGTACAGGCTGAACCTTGTGTTACTTGATTCTCCACTCGTTCTCCCAAAAGCTTTGGTGTTTCCAACAATATCTGGTAGTGGTTAAGAACACCTGTCCGGGGGCGGCTTTGGCACTCCTTCCAGTATTTCGTCGTTGTCTAAGATGTCGGAGCGTGTTTTCTCCTATAAAGAGGGGGTGACAGTGGTTTTTTCGTCCATTTGGCTGTTGTGAGGATGGATAGAGATGGATGAAGTGCTTATTCCAGTGCCTGGCTCATAGTTAAATGGTCCCTAAATGTTAGCTACTTATTGTCCCAGCAGAGGAAGGCTGGGTCCCCTCACATCCGCTCTATTGGGAAGCCCACTCCCAACTTCGGGAGGGGCCTGGGTGCCTCCTAGGAAGACTTTTGTAGCCACGGCTGTTGGAGGTGCAGCCTGTCCTCCAGGCAAGTTGGAGGGATTCTCTGGCCAGCCCTGAAACATTATATGGAGTTATCAGTGTTTAGGGCAGGCATCCCAGACACCATCCGGACGTGTGGATTCAACTCTGGGCGGAGATCCCTTTTATTTAAGTCAAAGAAATGCCGGGCCCTCATGGGTTAAACTGTCTTTCCATTGTCCCTTCCTTCCTTAATGTGTATGTTAGGTATTTGCTTGAGGTAACTTCTGCCTCAGCAACAGTTTCCTTGGACTAGCGGCAATGCAGATGAGCCCAGTCCTGCACAAAGCTCATGATAGGATCTGTGCTGAGTGGTTATTGCATTAGTAACGACTGGCTAGGGCTGCCTTAGGTCCACTTTGCCGGCAGCACAGAAAAAGTTTTCCTAGGAGACTCCAGAAACAGTAAAGAATAGGCACATTCACCCCACCCCTTGTTTTAGAAAGCCCCACACCCCTAATATATCCAAATTAAAACATTACACCGTTACCTGAAGTTAAAACACCACAGATATTTGCCTGGGGTAAGGGGGTGGAGTTTTCCCCTTCTGGAATAATTAGTCAACTTGCTCCTTTGTTATGTTCCTGAAACCAACACTCTACCCCCCAACCCCCCCACTTCCTCTCTTGACGGTTTCCCTGATGGTTTGCCACATGGTTACAGGACATTACCCATAGCTCTCTTCCCATCCCCCTTGCGTGGCACATTGGTTTGGCTCTGCTCTGATTCTCTGTCTTGCCAGTTTGAGCTGGCACTGAGCCTTTGTAGATGTTCTGTGTTTTAAAAAACAAATGGTATTGAGATTGCAGCTTTCTGCCTTCTTTTTAGCCCAGTTTGCTGAGTCTCAAATTTTGAGCACTTCATTGGAGTCAAACCCAACTAGATGGTAGCATGTTACACTTTGAGAGAGCCCTTTCGAACAACACTAGAGGTGAAAGACAGGAATGCGTTTTATTAAGAGAACTTAATACTCTCCTTTATTTTAATACAAACTTCTTCATGTACAGGGAGAGAAGAGATAATTGAGTAGTAGGAGGCATGGGCTAGAAAGCTCTCACCTAAGCTCTGCCAAAGGATAAATTAAGCATTCTCCCCTTTGCCCTTGGTTTGGGTAACCTAAAGGCATATTATTAAATAACATCAAAGAACTTTAGTAATGGCATTTACCCCCACTTCTTCCAGAAATATTTTGGTAGCTGGCCATTGCTCAGTTAACTTTCTTGATTGCAAAATGCACCCTTAATTTGGTTCTGGGCTTACCTTGCTCTCCAAGACCTCTGGCCCCACTGGCTGACCTGCTTTGCTATTACTCCCCATGCACAAGTCCTGCCATTGCAGGACCTGATGTGTATCTGCTTAGTAATTCTCATGAAGATGCTCTTTGTGTGTGAAGCTGATTTGGACTGCCCTCAAGATGAGTTGGCAGTGTGGAACTTTGGTACAGATGGAAGAATGACTCCAAACCAGTTGTCAGGGCTGTAACCTCTGGCACAGAAAGCAGCTTAAGAACTGAAGTAGTTTCTGACCTTAGCTGTCTTGTCGTGACCACTGACTGGCTTTCAAAGAAGTAGCATCGAGATGAGGGGCAGGGAGGAAAGAGGACTTAACCTCAGAGGTGGTCCGACCTCCCTTGAGCCTTTACTGTTTTCCAGGTTTTTTCCTCCTCCTCTGGCAGAAGGGAAGGCCAGCTGGCCCTCTTTTCTGTGTGACTGTTTCTGGCCTAGGTTTTTTCTAACTTAAACTTCCTGTCTGCCCCAGCCTCTTCATTCTAGCTGCCTAACTCTCCCTGGTACACTCTGTGCTTTTTTTTTTCTTTTGGTTCAGTGTTTCCTGTTAACTGCTGCCTCCCAGCTGTTTCTAGGCGAGGTTCAACAGCTCTTTGGGGGAGGAACTAAGTTCAGGGGAAGTTGTGGTTATTTTTACCCCAGTCCTGTAAAGTGGTCTAGGGATTCTGAATTTGATCTGTTCTTGAACATGCAAAGTATTGAACTCCTGAAGGGTCTTTTGCTAAACTGTCTTTGGGTGGGAGACTATGGTGTTTGAGGACCCGGGACTTCGTGTGAGTGGAAGGAACTGTGGATGCAGAAGCAGGAGCTTCTGCAGCTGGCCTTGACATTCATGTCCTTTCTACTCTGTGATGCTAAGTAGCCCTATAGTTAAATGTCTTGATTTGGTCTTAGCACATGTGCTCAATTACAGGACGTTTTACTGGGGAAAAAGTTGCTTTTCCCCAGGGCAAAGCTTAGGTGATAAGTGATGGGACAGAAGGAAGCCTGTGGCTTACATTTTCTAAGTCTTCCTGTTGCCACTGTAAAATTGGGAGGATAAAGCTTCTGTGCAGGGTGGATGTGAGGATTAACTGGGATTATGTCTGTGAATGTGTCTAGTACCTGGCAAAAAGAGGCAAGAGGAGGTTTGATAGGCTGAATCCAATTCTGAGTCTTCATTCAATTGACATTTATCAGGAATCCAAGTTTCTTATGTGTAAACTGAAGAAATAATGTATCCGACTGGGTTTTTTTAGTGTGACTTTCAATTGCCTGCTTGACAAATACTAAATAGGAGCCTTCTTGGTTTGCCCATACTTTCTAATGCTCCACAATGGAGCTCTGCACTCTAGAACATGGTTCATGGTTCTTGCCCTCTGAACATGTTAAGGAGTGTCACGCATGTAAATCACCCCCACAGAATCTGAACACATCTAGTGTATAGCTTTTTGTGGTTGGTTTTGGTTTAATTTCTCTACCTTTTCATGTAACTATTAGGGAGCCTCAGCGTTAATGTCTCAGCAGGTGTAAGAGGGTTTTTTTCTGTATTTAGATACTAGCGGTAGCTTTCTGGACAGTGGGTTTCTGCTTCAGTGGATATTTGAGGAGACCTTTTACTTTTGACATGTAAAATAGCCTTGGGAGATAAATTTCTAGAATGTAGCCCCCTGTACATATGTCCTGTATAGTAGTAGCCTTCTGTTTTTGACTTAAGGGGGAATCTCTGCTAGACTTAAGAAATAGCAAGGATTAAAGGTTTAGAGCTCTGTGTCCCACAAACTGTAAAGTTTTCAGTAGAGGAACTTTCTAGTGCTAGGTGTGGAACCTAGTTGTAAATGGGAACTGTTCTGACAAATGATTAAATTAGTTTTACTCTTCTGCAACCATGGTGAAGATAAGCAGTTTTTCTTCTCTTGCTGTTCCTTTCGTCTTTAATCATTGTATAGTGTGCCGTGCAAGGGTGTGCCCTGGGATAGGAGCCAGGGCTGCAGAGGTGAGCAAGACAGCCTCTGTCCTTGAGGAGCTCACAGACTTGGGGTGGGGCAGATGAATTGTAGAACGGTTAGAAAGGGCTGTGATAAAATATGTGAGCCGGTGTGACAGCTGTACTGAGAAAGGGTCCCAAGCCGGGATTGAGCGTGTGTTTACATAATTGGGCAGCTCTTGGACATCAGGGTTTAATACTTACCTCCCGTTCCCCACGGGAACTGTCAGAAAGCTGTTCCACAGCGGAAAACCCCAGTGTTCCTTTTCCCTGTCTTCTGCCCTATAGTAGTCCAGGAGCAAATTGCCTTTTTATATACAGGCTGATTGGCTGGTTGCCGTCCTGTCGAAAGGACAAAGAAGGGTGATAAAACTGGGAAGAACCTGGGAGAAGAGGTTATCGTTGAAGCTGTAGGAAGTTTATTTGCTAGGGTGGAGGAGAGCTGAGGATTTACACTAACTAACTAAGCAGCTACTATGTCCTAAAATCTCTGTACAATATCTTACACAACTCTCACAATAGCCTCTCAGGTCAGTGCTGGTAGAATCTTTGTTAAAAAAGAAAGAAAAAAGAAACTGAGTTTAGAAGTTAATTTGCCCTGTAGCTGAGAGGTGAGGCAACGTGTCCAAGGCAGTCTCTCGAGCTGAAAAGTTGCCTCCCTCATCTGCTCACAAACCTGCAGTTCTGTTAGGAGGTGAAAGGTCCGGGGAAACCAAGATGGGGAAAAGGAAAGCCTTTTGGCTGCTCCTTGCCCTGTCATGCACTGCCCCTTCCCGCTGATGAAGTCCTACCTTTCCTTTAAGATGGGGTTCGAATGCCACTGCCATAGTACCTTCCCGAAGGGAGTGGACACCACATTCCTCTCTAAATCCACCACCCTTATTGATTCGGCCTCGCAGTGTTACGTAGACCTGACTCACCATGATTCATGACGTCTTCACCTTTGAGTTTCCCACAGAGCCTGACAGTGTCTGGCACACGCGGCACACACAAGGAATATACATGGAATTGCAAAGGGAGGCTCGGGGACCTGGAAGCCAATAT